AATAATTTTAATACCCATTTCGCATCTGTTGCCGACAAGTTACGATCCAAGGTTTCAGTGGGAGATTCATATTTTTCGAATTTACGGAAATTTATTGAACCGAAATTGACCAATACTCGACCATTTGTTATACCGCCGGTCACATGCCAGTTCGTGAAGAACCAACTGTTCTCACTATTTAGTCAGCTGGCCTTGACAAAACATCATCTAAACTTTTGCGTATTTCTGCTCCGTTCATTTGTGAAAGTATTGTTTATTTATTCAACCTCAGTATTTCATCAGGTATTTGTTCAGGCTAGACATGTTTAAGAATACCAAAGTTATTCCATTACAGAAGGGTGGATCCCAGGACTTGTTGCTCACAATAATCTCAAAAATCTTTGAGAAACACGTGCATGGTCACTTATACCATTATTTGAATAGTCATGATTTAATTTCAGGTTTTTGTAAATCCCATTCTTGCCATACAGCTATGATTAAGCCATGTGATGCATTACTTAGCAATATGGATGATGGCTTATTGTGTGGTTGCTTTTCCTATATTTAAGCAAGGCGTTTGATATGGTAGATAAACATGTATTATTGAATAAGCTCTCAATTTATGGCATTTCTCCAATCTCCCTTATATGTTTTAATTCTTATTTAACTGACAGAAAGCAAGTTGTGTATTTGATGGGTAAACAGTCGGATGCTGTCAATATTCGACATGGTGTACCACAGGGTTCAATTTTAGGACCATTATTATTTCTTCTATTTATTAATGACCTACCATTATTTCTTGAAAATAGTTCCATTGATATGTATGCGTACTCTGTTATCGTCTGGACCAGGTATCAATGTAGTCACAAAGTGCATTAATGATGATGTTTGGCCAATTTTGCGTTGGGTTAATTGCAATTACATGTCAATCAACACATCTAAATCAAAATCTATGCTTGTTGGGTCCCGTTAACTTCAATGGTGAAATAATTAAAACAATCAGTTTCGAAAGGTCGCTCGGGTGGTATTAGATAAAACCCTATCATGGGATCACCATGTATATATACTTTATAAAAAGCTTAGACAAAGAATTCTCACCTATTTCCGTCAGAAGAACACTGTATTGTGTATTTATTCAGTCGTTATTGTACTATTGCTGTATAGTATGGGGCAATACAAGTAAATCAAATTTATGTCGGGTGTATAAGCTTCAGAAAAAGGCAGTTCGTGTGATTTCCTCTGACAACTTTAGCCAATCGTCGTTTGAACTATTCAAAAAACATAGTATCTTGCCTATCCATTACAGAATTTCATATTTTCTAGGTATCGTAATGTATATGGCAACCAATGGCTTGGCGCCTTTATATATAAGTGAAATGTTCAGTCCTATCTCCCAAACCCACAAGTATAGTACAATTTCCTCTCTTAAACATGATTTATGCATTACTAAATTGAAAACATCCATGGGTCAGAGGACGTTTCAGTATAGAGGGGTAACCCAATGGAATAATTTACCATCCCATATCAGAAATTCAGCCTCATTAGGCATTTTCAAGAAGACTTACGAAATATATCTTAGTGAAAAATTTGCTGTAAATGGCTCAAGCATATGTATTTGTATATTGTATATTTTGTCCCTACAGAGAGCCCAATGAAAACTTTATTGTATATTGGCCTACCCTCTTTAAATAAAGTGTTAAATAAATAAATAAATAACAATTCGAAGCAATAATGTAACATTTGAGATATAAGACTAGTAACCGTATCCAATAGTTCTCATTTATGACAAGTTTAAAAAAACAAGTCATTGTCAATGACACGTCCCCGTTCCGTTCATATTTGAGTGACATATACATTCAAAGCAGATCATAACCGAAATCTCAGACCACTTTCAGTGGTCTGATCCGAAATGCACCTGCATATGCACAACACATTGTACTAAATCTGAACAAAATCCATCCATGCATGACTGAGATCCGGTTCCGGAATTGTGAAAATACGTGATTTTGATGCATTTTCGGCCTTAAAATGGCCATCATTCAGCTATTGTTAAGTGGGTCATGAAACAAATGCACAAATATATTTGTGACATGATGTACCATGTGTGTGTGAAGTTTGAACTTGATTAATCCAGACATGTCTTGGATACGGATCCAGAAATGAATTCTTTAAAAAAAATGGCCGCCAGTCGGCCATTTCAAACTTGATCCGAAAAATAAAAATGACGTGCATCAAGGTCCTATTATGTTTAATGTATGTACCAAATTTGAACAAAATCCGTCCATGCATAACTGAGATCCGGGTCCGGAATGGTGAAAATGTGCGATTTCAATGCATTTGCGGCCTTAAAGCGGCCGCCATTTGGCTATCGTTAATGAGATCATGAAACAAATGCACATACATATTTGTGACATGATGTACCTTGTGTGT